GGAAAATTGTCTGAATCCTCCTTTGGCCACGACTGCCGACACAAGCAAGAAAACAAAGTAAATACCGGAGACTCTGGAGGAATAACGGGCGCTTAAAACGGAGGTAACGTGTTGTAGCGCCATCGCTAAACTGTCCTCCCTCGGGTCCTGGACTATGTCACTTTATCCTAGTTGTAGAAGTCCTGCAAACATTGTGTTTGCTGGTCGTCTGTTGGCATCTACAGTAGCACCAATGCTTTTGACTTTCACCTTGACTGGGCCCCATTTGTAATGATCTGAAGCATTTATCTGCATTATATCTGAATTTAATCGGAACGATATGAGCGAGCAGGAGCGTCTGTTTGTGGGTGGGGCTTGCTAGAGCAGAGAGGGAGGGGAGAGAAGGAGCTGAGGGGAAAACTGGTTGGGAGGGGTAGAGTTTACATTCAAGATTTCTCCCAAAAACTGGCACTTCCTCAGATCCTGACTACCCCACCTTTATATAAAAAAAAAAAAAAAAAAGCCTTGTGGCGATAATGCTCAATTCTGATTGGTCATAATCCCATAGCAACAATTGTTTATTCAAAACACCAAGAACAACAACAGCATGATCACAAACATCACATCAATATTCCCTCTACCTGTCAACACTGTTGGAAAATGATTAGCCAGGTCCGGCAGAGAAAAGAAGAGCAAGATCCCGTCCTGCAATCCATGCACTGACAACAAAGCAGGCGGTTCCTGACCATTACTCTAACAGAAAAGTAGTTGTTGTGACTTTCTAGAACATTTGGTTTAAATCTTACAGATGAGTCAAAGAATACTTTGTCTTTTTCATGTAACCTCACATGTGGAGTCCCCCAAGGCTCCATCCTGGGGCCTCTTCTTTTTTTTAATCTCCATCGTAACTATTGATTCTGATGGAAAAGTGAAGTGCTGAAAAGTTCCAAGGTAAATCACAAACTTTAACCAAGATTAGCGCTAACAAAATTAGCTAAATCACACAGTAGAGTCGACCCTGACTGTAGAAAACTATAGCCCAAAATATTTCCCTGTGAGACGGATCCAAAGTCAGCCGATATCACTAAAGGATGTATCAAGGGTTAGGTAAGAACCTTTACTCTAAAAGAACTTATACGGAGAGGGTCATTTTGTAAGTAATTTTAAAGTTATGGGACTAGTAGCCTGTTCAGGGACATCCTAAATCTTTTAAGTGCATTTAGGTGCAGACTATCAAAGACCTGAGGGTCCCCCTGTGGGATCACACAGTAAGCCTGCATGTGAAATGAATGTACTGTATATGTGAGTACATCCTTCGGTCTCGGGACATGAATCACAGTTAAAGCCTCCTGATCGTTGGACTCTGGAGAACAATCTCCTCCAGCAGTTTGTCATCCTCTGCAGTAACTACTCATCGCTGTAAAACTCCCTCATGCTTTCAGCGTGGAGTCAGCTCTGTTAAAATCAAGGATTACCTCACTGATTCTGCACGGTAAAGAGGCCGAACGAACCCGCGCTCCGACAGAGACATTCTTTCCACTTTACTGTCGGGACGGGTATGAGCTCGACGGGGACGACGGCTCGGAGCCAGAACACAGACGATCCCCTCTGAGCTGGAGGCGAATGACTCCGTTCAATCCTCCAGAGAGGATCTTAATCCAGGACATGGCGCACTGACGCTGCTATGTTGGCATGGGGGGAATCACTTTGGCCTTTTTTTTTTTTTACCTGACTTTGACAAACGAATTAGGTCATCAGTGGAAATATGTGAAAGTGAAAGTTAAGTCACCTGATTTTTGTAGGACAAGCAATTTGAATGTTATGGAAACTAAAGTCTGAATTGATTAAATCGTCTTGAATTAGGGTCCGTGTCCACCAATCACCTCGATTTCTTCTTCCTGCCACCTCTCTTTGTAGTGACCGTTAAGCAGCAGCTTTGAACGTGGAAATCATCCTCATTACATAAAAGTGTTGTTAGTTTCTCCACCACATCGTCCTCTGCCTCTGTAGATCAAACTGGGGTCAAAGGTCACACCCATAGACTGTATATACCATGGACAACTTTGTTCCACCTCCCGCCTGTATACGGATTTGAAGCCAAATAGCTCTCGGTTTTTCCTGGATTTTTTTTCATTTCCTGAAACCAGTAGCGATGCGCGCATTCAGGTCCACAGTCGCCGAGAGTCGATGTGATGACGCTCGGCTCAAACAGCGTATCCCCCGTGTGAGCTACGCAATCCCTGAACGCTTATAGGCTGTACCAGGTGTCAATCATAGAAAACATAAACCCCCTAATAACTTTTAAAAATGGAGCTGCACAGAAAAAAGAGGACTTGAGCACAAACCAGTCTGACAGTAACTACATGTCAACATCACAACCAGGGGGGAGAAACATTTATATTCTGTGTAATTAATTTATAATGTTTGTCCACAGCTCCATAGGGATTGCTGGAGGGGGCGGGATTTGTGACCTATACTGCAGCCCGTCACTAGAGGGTGCTGTTCTAGCGTTAGCTTCACCCAGCGAGGAGGCAGACAGCGTCTTTTCTATATACAGTCTATGATCCAAACCAAAATATAAGACATGTATGCAAATAAATCTGAATTTAAATTTTTAATTCTAGACATGGCAGGGTCCTTATCGACAGCTACATTAATTTCGGGTCCAACATAGACATTAATACACATATTTTCACACTGGTGGCTTTTCAGCTCAACTTTACTTTATAACAAACTTTATATCAAGAGTAATAACAGACATAATAAACTCTGTTACACCCTTAAACAGGGAAGATTTCACCTTACTGACTCCTGATTATCTGTACTTTGAGGATAAACAGTCTGGCTGTTCTGCTACAGTGTCTGCGGCTCCTCACGGGTGTCAGCATGGGGGTGAGCTGGGTGCAGAGGTCAGAGGTCGTAGGTGAGGAGGAGGCTGTAAACAGCAGTGGTGGGCTGCAGCGGGGCAGGTACGGCCTCGCTTTTATTTATGAAGCTGCAGCCATGGCCGGGGTCACGGTTGCCAGGGACAACGAGGGGGGGTGTTGTTACCGTGCCCACGGGAATAGGAAGTTGGTCACAGGGTCAGGGGTCGAGGGGGTGGGGTAAGGACTCTGTGTGTGTGTGTGTGTTTGTGGGTTTGGAGGGGGGTCGCATCAACAGGTGGGGCGCTGCTGCAGACTGGCCACACCTGCCCCGCCTGTCAATCAACGTCCAGCCACGAGTGTGTGGTTACAGTGAGACAGTGTGTGAGTTTTTATGAATGAGGTGAGACACACACACACTCACACTGACTTAGTGATGGTTTGGAGTTCTCATCTTCTCATTGTGAGCGGTTCTGATGTGACTCTGAGCTTCATGAAGGTCCAGGTCTCAGGAACAGCTGAGCCTCAAATCCAGATCGTCCTGGACTTTGTTTACAAAGTGATCATCAGTGAAGTTATGAAGCACAAACAGCAAAGTTTCTGTTATCATACCTACAGTTACTGGTGAGAGCCTCTAAAAACGGGCGAGGAAAGGACAGAAGGAGGTAAGGAAAGGAGACAAGTGTGTCAAAGATTAGGAGGCAAAGTAGGGAAGGAAAAAAGGAGAGGGACGACCCTCCGTTATCTACAGTAAGATGATCAGTTAGCTGTCCTTCAGTTTCCCAGCATGCCCTGCTGTCTGAGGCTCGGCTCCGTCTGTCTCTTATGAAGACCGGCTGTGTGTGTTTAAGTGTGTGTGTGTGTGTGTGTGTGTGTAGCTGTACATTTGCTGTGTCAGTGGCAGGTGCAGATTAGATGGGTCGTTGTCCTGACAGTTGCACAGTCGACCCAAAACAACACATGTAACACACACACACGTACACACACGCATGTGCACAAACACACAAAGCACCTTTAGTGAGTCAGCAGAGTGAGTGTGAATCAAATTGCTGCTTTTATTTGGCATCATGGAGAAATAAATCTGATTTTTAACTGGTTATATAAGCGGTAAATTTAAAGCTCCAGTGAGAAACTTTTGGGTTGTCTTGATTCTGGCGCCCCCTGTGGACAAAGTGGTACTGCTGATTTTCTCCTGAACAGGTTTGAATTGTTTTTTTTTCAGAGTCCAAACTCTCAAAACTGGAACTCTCCTAAAAATCGAGTGAGACTTCAGAGTTAATGAACATGGCGGACTACAGGGACTCACCTTTGCAAGCTGTTTTACTTCCTGGTACTTCCACTGAATTAGTGATTTTTGATATTTATGCTTTCAGGTCAACGCAGCTCCAACCACCTTCTACGCAGATCAGATGAATGAAACATCACTCAACACACCTCAGACTTCGGGATAATCTGGCAAGATAACCTTAAAAACCATCTGATGATTCGGTCTTTGCCGACGTTGGTTGGTATGATTATTTTGAGGTGTGTAGAGTGAAAGACCCGTCCTTCAAGTCCAGGTCCTGCACAACCCCCTACTCATTTTGTGTAGCTATTTGCTTTAATAGATCTCTGAGTAATATAAGTGTTTTCTAAAGTAATGAACACACTGTAACCTCAGGTCTTTAGGTTTTTATACCTGAAACGTCCCCTTTATTAGAAGAAAGTCCCACCTGTGCAGGTCTGATGAGGAATTTCCACCGCATCTGGAACGGCGGCGACTTTCGCCATCCGCCAATTTCACAAGAACTCACAAGGACCTGCAGATTCACCAGCAATCACACGATAACGAGTTGTCTCTTTAAAGACAGACACATAGACATATAAGCAGTAGATTGTGTCATTCCAGAGGAGGAAATCTACTTCTAGACTTCTAGAATCAGCATCTCCTCATCCATGGTGTCATCGGGGTGAAATGACGTCTAAAAACCTTTCACTTGTTCGTCTCCACCCGTTTGCATGGTATGAAATACGATCCGCCTGAATCACAAGGTGTTTTATTTTGAAAAGAAGCCGGTTGTTTTATTTTGTGTCTGTGCCCGACTTCCTTTCCAGCACGGGTTAATCTGCAGCGGCATGCTCTGGCGTCAGGAAGAAATAGAACTCTTGCGATCAGCTGAGGAGTCCAGTGATCTGCAGAGGAACAGAAAGAAGAAAAACAGAAACGATCAAAAACGATCGGCTCTGATCGGCGGATACGACCTTTTCAAAGCCGTTGCGGATGCGTTGGAAATTGGGGGGTGAGTGTTTCTACTTACCTTCATTTCTGCAGAGGAGAGCATCTACTGCTGTTCATGTCATCATGTTTGGTGTGTGTTTGGGATTTCATGTGTTCATCCTGTTATTTGAGCTGCTGCAGTTGGTAGTCTTTCATGTTTTTCTTGTCCGGCTCTTACATTAATTTGTCCGACTCTGTGCCGCTGTAATTAACTCGCTGCCGTCTTAAGTCTTCATGTGCGGTCTCATGGTGCTTTTGCAGGTATTGCATAACATTCTCTAACTCTGGTTGTCATGCAGTTTTTGTGTGCTGCAGGCCTTCACCCTCCGCTGAGGACAAACATGAAGGACGAACACCATGTTCCCTGCAGAGGAAAACCCCCCTGCCTGCCTCAAGAGGGCGCTAATCCTGTTGTACTGCTGATGTGTGTGTGTGAGAGTGTGTGTGTGTGTGTTTTGAAGGCCAGAAAGGACCCATGGGACTCTCCAGTTGCAGGCCTGCAGACTGGCTGGCACCCTCAAAGTAGCTTCTTCATCCTGGAGACAGCTGTTGTCTCCGTGACGACACGATCGGCCAATGAGGGAGTGGGTGGGCAGGCTGCATGGGGAGGAGGGTTGTTGGCCTATGTTAGAGTGTGTGTGTTACTGTGTGTTTCAGTGTGTGTGTGTGTGTGTGTGTGTGTAACTTTGGTCATATCAGGTGGCACGGATCATGTAAAGTCACTCGAACTTGTAAATAAATACACAGAAAAATAACGAAGCTGCAGATTCAAATATGAGGAGCAGGAAACGCAACTTGTGTTTGCATGTGTGTGTTGAAACATGTGTATGTGTGTGTGTGTTGCAGTCCAGTTGGCTGGCTGCAGTAAACACCATTCCTCTGGTCCCCCTGTGGCAGAAGAAAAGACTCCATATAGCTCCAACAACGAGGAAACATAATTCGGGGTCTGATCGTGCAGTTAGCAGCTGGACGTGTAAAGAGTCTGCGGGGACGAGACGCTGCGTTCACTGAAACAGTGTTCGCTTACAGCCAGCGTGCGGCCCTGACCACGGCTGAACTGGACTCTTTGTGTGAATGTGTACAAACAAACTGAGCTGCCCCACGTCCACGGAGACCTGAGATCCCGATCAGGGACCTGAGGCTTCGGGTCTGCAGATATCCTTTTAAAGTCGGGCTGTAAACATGATCACAATCAATGCACTGTGATTAATGTCCAAAACTGCTATTATTTTATCAATCACATGCTGTTTTAACCTCATACACTTATGGAGCGCTCACACTTAGCGACGAAAATCATCTAATCGCTTCATGTGAATCTAGACGCGTGAATGAATAGTATTCACTCGCTTTATCTGCGCGTCAACAGTAATTTCAACATTAATTCCTGCCAATTCAACTGGTGCCCAGTGTGTGAAAGGTTCGGCCCTTTGTACTAAAGACAGGAAATAACCCGAGGAGTACAAATGTCCGTTATTATGTGTAATTTTACAACATTGTAAATCAAGTTATACCTCACTATTGACCGCTTATCTTCTCAACAGTTTTACTGCACATACAGTACAGGCCAAAAGTTTGGACACACCTTCTCATTCAATGCATTTTCTTTGTTTTCATTACTATTTAAATTGTAGATTCTCAAAACTATGAATGAACACATGTGGAATCATGTGCTTAAGAAAAAAAGTGTGAAATAACTGAAAACATGTTTTATATTTTAGATTTCTCAAAGTAGCCACTCTTTGCTTTTTTGATAGCGCTGCAAACTTTCGCTGTTCTCTCAATGAGCTTCATGAGGTCGTCACCTGAAATGGTTTTTACTTCACAGGAGTGCCTGAAGTAACCCTGACAAGGTACTTCTGTCATCAAGAGCAAAGAGTGGCTATTTTAAAGAAACTAGAATATAAAACATGTTTTCAGTTATTTCACACTTTTTTTATAAGTACAAAATTCTGCATGTGTTCATTCATAGTTTTAATGCCTTCAGTGATAATCTACAATGTAAATAGTCATATAAAAAAATAAAGAAAAGACACTGAATGAGAAAGTGTGTCCAAACTTTTGGCCTGTACTGTACCTGCCTCCAGAGTCAATGATGCAATGATTCGCAGGGTTGTACACTTTCCTTTCCTTTTCTGTCGACGACGATAAAGTTTTCATCTAATGATAAAATTCAGATGACGTACTCGGACAAGCCTCATGTACAGCTCTTTAAGTTATTGCTGTTGGGGAAATGATGATTTTATTCGTGTTTCCACCATTCAAGACCCGGGTTATTCAACGTGTTGACGTCAGACGCCCGCCGGCCTAATGACCAATCAATGTAAACTAAAGAGACACGTAAAGCACGTAGTTGATGATGAGATCACGTAGGTTTGTTAGGGAAAGTCTTTTAGTCCGGTTGCAGTAATGACAGTGTGAAACCTAAACAGACTGAACCAAATAACAAAAACACGGACCTAGGTTCGGACCTCGGCCCCTAAGTGTCAGAAAGTCCCTAAAAGTGAATCGACTTTACACAAACTTACTGTGCAGGTTCACTTTGCTTCCAAAAGCCGCCTTCTTTTAACCACGATCCAAACGCACAAATCAAATCTCGATTCTTCTGTAAAGTAAATTTTCCTCTGTCAGTCTGAGCAGAGACTCCATCAGACAGGTGGAGTTTAAAAAAATGACAGTTTAGTCCTTTAACCAGGTGAGTGAATGATGAACCAAACTCAGAGTGATCGGCCAGATGCTGCCGGGACAGGCTGTGACCTTTGCCCCTTCAGGAAGCGACCCAACACCTCTGAACATGGAGCCGTAACCTCCTGCAGGAGAAAAGTGCTGATGCGGTCAGAAGGAGGCAGAGGACGGCGGCTGATGTGATCTCAAGACACAGGAGACAGGAGACAGGAGACAGGAGACAGGTGTGTGTGTTTGTGTGTAACAGGTAAAACACTTTACAATAACCATGATCTATAAATGGTAAATAAACAGTTTATTAATGTTTAGTCATCATTTAAAAACAGCATATAGACCAATTATAGATGGCAAATGGATAGTTTATTAATGTTAATATAAGTTAATAATAAGTTAAGTTAGGTTAAATATAAGTTAAATAAGTTAATAGTTACTATTAACAAGCAATGAAATTATGATCAGACGGTCCTGATTTAGCTCTAAATGTAGTTTGTGAGTGTGGAGCTTCATCACTTGTGTTAAAAACAGAATAACAGAAACACGCTCTCAGAGGTTAATTTTACTCTAATTTACTCTCAAATCTGAAATGTGACAAAGTCCATCTGGTTCTTCTCTGCCATCCCAGCATCCTCTGCAGTAGCTGGACAGAGAAACCCGATACTGACCGCAGAGAGGGGGGAGGTCAGACCGGGGTCAAGGCCATCGCCCAAATAATCAGGAGAAAGAGATGATCGGTGAGTCCACAGGAGAAGAGTTTCCTGATTAAAACTCATGATACTTTTTATTTTCTCGTCTTATTTTGATTTTATGTCTTTTTTTAGCCTTTGTTTTACGCATAATCTTTTCATATTTAACCTTTTAGGCCTCTTATTGATGTTATTGTTTTCTCATTTCTGTTTTTCCATTTTATCATGAATATTACCATCATTATTATTTTGTTGTCTTTCGTCTTTTATCCTGTTGCCTGCTTTCTACCCCCTTTTTTTTCATTACATTTCCTATTTTATGTTTTTATTTTGGTCCTCTTGGTCTCATTTTATGTTGTAAGGTTCTTTGTCCGGGTTCCTTATGACAAATGAAATTGGTCTTCAATATGGAGACCCTGTTTTTAACTGAGCTTTTGTTTTCTGTTTTCTGTTTTATTTTTTATTTTGTTCTGTGCTTTACGACTGTTTGTTGAAGCTCTGTTTTTGAAAGTGCTATAAAAATAGAGTTATTATTATTATTATTATTATTATTATTACACTGAACATTTACAGACTCTGGATAATGGACCAAGAAACACTTTGTTTTCCTCTGAACTTGTGGGTGTTACTTTTTACACAACTTTGCAGTCATGAGAAAATTATTCCGTCACTGAAAACATCTGAGGATATCACGGTACGAATGAGATGGTAGAACCGTTCGTCTGATCCAACACGATCCAGGGGGGCTGCTGCTATGATGCTAAAATACTCTGATCAGTAAAGTTCTTCTTCTTCTACTGCCTGAATGTAACCGAACATCGTTGTCATGTTTTAGAAAGTGTAGATAGAGTTTTTTCTCGGCTGCGTCTGGTTGAACTCACCAATCTTTGTCCTTTTTGTTTAAAACCTTTAATTCAGAGCCGAGGACTGACTGAGCTCTGATTCTGATTGGTTGATCCCTGTCATTATTATCAGACTGCTGAACTTCAACTTAACAATGAAAGTTCCCCAAATCTTCACAGATCGATTACCCACAACCCCCCTCTGCCTCTGGGACTTCCTGGTCAGAAAGTCATTTGTCAGTATTAAGGTGGATCATGTCGGGAGCCACCGTCGGTACCAAGGTTAGGACGCAGCAGTTGAGTAAACATCAGCCGGGGTATCGCTTTCAGTACGGCTGCTGGTTTCACCTCAGAGTAAACAGAGGCGGCGTCCGCAGCGGCACTCAGGTATCAGACTGACCCTGGTTTTAGACCAGAAGATGTCTCCTTTCTGTCAGACTGAGGACGAGGATGAGGAGGGGGAGAGCAGACAGATGATGAAGGTGTTTATGTCTCCTCGCTGTTAATCGTCATATCTGGTGTCGTGTCTGAGCAAAGGCTTTCTCTGTAGGTCACAGTCTGACCTGAAGGACCTGGACTGACCCTGACGCACCGACGCTGGCCTGAGTCTGATCTGCTGTTCTGGTTTTAACAAAGAAAGGATCATGTTCACAATATCCACCATATTCATCACATTCATCATATCCATCAAATTCACCATATTCATCACATTCACCATGTTCATCATATTTACCATAATCACCATAATGTCATGTGATTCCAAACATATGAATTGAATTTCCCTTTGAGGATAAACAAAGTTCTTGTATATTATATTAAATATTCATCCTATTAACCAGAATTCATCGTACTCACCAAATGTATCATATTGATTATTTTTACCATTTCCGACACATTTACCATTCTGACCACATTTCATCATGTTCATCATATTCACCATATTCATCGCTTTTACATATTGACCATATTCATTAGATTAATCAAATTCACCATATTCTCCTTATTCCCCATATTCACAAAATTCATCAAATTCTCCATATTCATTATATTCATCAAATCAGCTATATTCATCATATTTATCGTATTCACCATATTCATCATACTCACCATAATAACTATATTGATTATATTTACCATTTTCAACACATTTACCAAATTCACCATATTCATCAAATTCACCGTATTTACCATATTCACCATTTTGATCATATTCACCACATTCGCAAAATTCATCAAATTCACCATATTCATTATATTTATCAAATTTGCTTTATTCACCATATTCATCATATTCACCACATTTATCATATTGATTATTTTTACCATTTCCGACACATTAACCAAATTCATCATGTTCAACATATTCAATTTATTCATCAAATTCATCCAATTCACCATATTTATTATATTCATAATTTTCACCGTATCCATTTTATTCATCATATTAACCATTTTCACCATCTTGATAATGTTCACTATGTTCATTGCTTTTATATATTGACCATATTCATCAAATTCACCATATTCATCATTTTCATCATATTGAATTGATCTTTATATTGATCTTATCCATCATGTTGATCACATTCCATATCAGTATGTTTTGTACCAAGGCTGCATGATAAACCATTTCATCTCTTTTCAGTTGTGTCTGATAGGGTTGGTCGTCACCCTTCTCTCTGTCAATTGAAGTACTTATTACTAGGATTGGGGATCATTCATTCTAACTGATTACTGATATCATTATTGGGACTTCTTAATGATTCAGGTCCTTATTAAAACCAGGATCCGGTCTTCTCTGTTATTGTCATGACTTCAGTTTTCGAAGTCAGTCGTCAGGTCGGGTTTTGAGCTTGTTATGTTTGTGTATCTAAATTCCCAGCTGGCCCTGAAGTATCAACTCTGTAAAGCCAAACAGAGGAAACGGTCAAAGAGGTCGTGACCTTTCAGCCAGCGGGTACATGTCCAATCAGAAGGTCAGGGATGGCGAGGAAAGACTCTACATGTCTGAGTCCGTCAGTGAATCGGTTTTAAGGTTTTGAGGAGTCCCTAAAATCTGAACCTGCTGATTGGTAGAAAGATGCTGCGAATGAAAAACTAAAATTATGACAGAAAAAGGAAATCACTTAGTCGATTATGTCTGTAACTCACCTGCCAACATTTTTATTAAAGTTTATGAAAAAACATAAACTTTTAAATTTAATAATCAGTTAACTTGAGGACCTGAACTCTTTAAAACCTTCAGAGCTCCTGAGATAAAAACTCGACCTTGTGGTCATTTTGCTGCTGCTGCTGAGCTTTGACATTGACCTTGGCGTCCTGCTTCACATCTTTAGTCCTCAGTTTGTCACTAAAATATCACGTTTCCAAACAGAGGTGGCTCTCCACACGGCTGATGAAATGTTCAATGATGCTTGGGTTTCAGCTCCTCACCAGCCTGAATCCTGCAGCCCGTATCCAGGCGTCCCCAGAGTGCCCCACCCTCTGGACCAGCAGCCCCCTCTGCAGGGTTTGGACCCCGTCAGATGGGAGGGGGGCCCCTGGGAGCCATTTATAACCCGAGCCGGAGCTCTCACGGCAGAGTCCATTCTCCTGCACTTCTCTGCCAAGTGTTAAAAGAGAGATTCTTAAAAATGGAGCAGCCATATGTACGGCAGCCCGGAGCTTTAGATGAGCTTTTCATCGAGGTGGGGGTCGACTTTTCTCCTCTTACAGCCCAAAGCACTCAGAGCTGAGGCCAGCAGCCTGATGACAGGTCCGCCATCTTGGAGGGTTTCTGTGTCGGTGTGTGGCGTTCAACAGTCCTCTGGATTCTCACTGTGAGTCAGGTCCATGTTCAGACTCTCAGTAAGACTCATTAATGGATGCTGAGAGCAAAATTTAAATAAACGGTGTGTTAAAAGCTGTTTTCTTGACTGTAAAGTCCACGAAATCACGTATGAACACGATCATATGTAACTCCTGTAGGCCCAAGCTCATTCAAGACAGACTGAGGTGAAGTTAGAGACTGCTCTGTGGTCTGACGGTCTTTATAAAAACCATGGACGCCATGTTCCGGGGATCATCAGAGTCCATGTCACCAGTATCTTCCACATCTGTGAAGGCTCCATGAATGCTGAACAATATCTCCAGGTTTAGTGCTGCGTTCAAGTTGTATTTAGAAGTTGTGGTTTCCAAGAGTTGGACGATCCTCACCAACACCAACTTGACGACAAGTTGGTGTTGGTGATGTTTTATTTATTAGCGCTACTGTTTTGTTTTTGTGAAATTAAATAAGTGGTTTATGTTGTACTGCCCAACATCTAACTGTGAACACGGTGCTACGGTGTTTGTAAAAGTAAAATACTGTGATGTGTTGTTTACTGGAATAGCTAACAACAACAACAACAATTGACAACCGCTAACAACTGACAATCATTAACAACAGCTAACAACGGCTAACTGTAGGCGTCCATCTTGGTTTTCTGACTTGTTCACTGGAACGTCGTCAACTCAGGTGTAACATCATTCCCATTTCTGACATCCGACTTCCGAGGTAACTGGATGCAGCATAGGAGCAACAGGACTCTGTAGTTGGAGTCACTGCATGGGCTTAATGCTGCGTTAAAGTTACCTGGGAATTCAGAAGTCTGGGCTAAAAATCACACCCGAGTTACGAGCCTTTCAGTTACCGAGTCAGAAAAAAGCAAAATTGTAGGTGGAAACAAGATGGCTACATCTACGAAAGTTATTTTAGCGCTTGTCTTGTCTGAATATAAGGCGAGCGCTAAAAATAACTTTTGTAGATGAAGCCATCTTGTTTCAGGCCTCCAATTTAGCTTTTTGGGACTTCTTAAGTAACTCAAATGCACCACGATATCACTTGTAGGTGAACTGTCCTGAGGTCTGATGAATCAAAATCTAGCACTCTTTTGAACAGGCGAAACGTCCCAAGTAAGTCCAGTTACCCTTTCAACGAAGAACTGGAAATCATAGATGCTGCATCCTCAGTTTTAAGCATAATGCTGAACAATATCTGCAGGTTTAGGAGCAACATCTGCTGCCATCCAAGACCTTCATATTTCAGCAAAACAACGACAAACCACACTCTGACAACGTGGATTACAACAGCGTGGCTCTGTAGTAGAAGAGTCCTGCTGAGAAACTGGACTGATGCGGTCCCCACATAACAAATAGTGACAGGCTACAGTTTAATATTATGGACCAGCAGAACAGGAACCCCGATCTGATATTCCTGCTAATTCTTATCTAATCACGACCTGGATGGCTGGTATGTCAGACTGTAAACACTCCTGCTGTGCCTCAGTAGTAAAACATTGTCGGTGTTGCATCAGGGCTGCAGCTGCAGAGTCGGAGGAGGAGGAGGAGGAGGAGGAGGTGAGGACAGGAAGCTGCATTCTGCATGCTGCGACTACAAACACAAGTATGACATCAAAACACACTGACGATAAATAATCCTGGAGTCACACTTTGAAGCTGCTGGACTGTCAACAAGCTCTGCTCGGCCGTAAAGGTGGTCTGGGTTTCAGGGTTTGGGTGGAGGCTGTCCTGAAAAGACTGATGAAGGTGATCCTCCACATTGAAGTCGACTGTACTGATCTTTAACGTGGCGTCTGAATGAAGCCGTTAAACTGTCTGTTGGTGTTCAGTGACTCTCTGAAGTTGTGGTTCGTCAGAGAGATCCTTCAGGGACAGCAGAGAAGATTAACATGGACCGCAGATCCTCAATGATACCAGACCAGGAAGTGAGGAGGATCTGCTCCTGCTCTGCATCGAGGTCTCTGCTCCCAAAATAAAGCCCGAAGACCCGAGCGCCTCTGGTTGGGAATGTGAGTTATGGACGCCCTCTAAGCCCCGGGACCAGATTCCACCTTAAAATAGGTCCAGGGTGAAGAGAGACGAGCGGAGGCCACGGAGCTGCTATCTGCAGGAATTTACACTTCGGTTAATTGGCGGTTTCTTCATAGCAGAGCCGGACTGAACGGAGACCCGGGAATATTTGTGATATCTGTTTTAAAGGCGGTGAGATTCTGACCTTTGACCTGCTCGCTCGTAATGCTGCTGAGGGCGGATGGCTGTTTCTTTTACCTGCAGGAGTTTCAGGACTTTAAAGCTTCAGATGTTTCCTCTGGTTTCATCTGAACAGACAAAGAGATTCAGTATTCAGGAAGGATTGACATGAAGATGGAAATCATGATAAAGGCATGAAGAACTTAGAAACCCCCATTTTCTGGACAATTTGAACAGGAGAGGAGCAGGAGGAGACATTATAGACCCACCCATAGCATCTGTAAACCCAGGAAGTAGCCTGTGTTAAACCATGAAAGGCTCACAGTATGAAGTCGATGTTGATGCTCGAATAGTTACGATATCTACAGAATCAGTGAGAGTGATAGTTAGTCTGTGAAAGACTGAAATTTATGATTACAGGGAGAAAACAGATTTATGTCTTTAACACACAGATCAATGTTAGGTCTCAAACCTGTGTCACATTAATGAACTCTAATGGGGCTTAAACTCTAAGCGCAAGTAAAATCATTCGTGCGAAGAAACGCAAAGACGCAATTAGATGCTTGTATTACCTTTGCGGCGTGAACGACCAAATTGGGCGAGTTATTTGCGCGAATTAAGCGGACGAGAATTCATGAGAGTTGAAAATATCTCAACTTAAGCGAATATTCGTGTCGCGACAACCAATCAGCACGAAGATTTCAGGGTGACTTATGAAAACGGACCGGAGTGGGGATAGAGCGCCTGTGATTGGAGAGATATCCTGGCACTGACCCTCACCAACAGGTCACCAAATTGGGTTTGGGGAACCCGAACAAACTGATGGAAATAGCCATCATCGGGGCACAGCTCCTGGAGGAGACCCAGACATGGCGGCACCTACATCTCTGACGGTTGTGGGCCTTAGCAGCAATCCGCTGAACATGGTTCACTCCTACCATGCCTGATGGAGACTCTCCCCCTCTCTCATATCCACGGCTTTTAATTCGCGCGAATGAAGCGAGTAAATACTGTGTTGTTAAGTAAGTGCTGGTTGTTCTCCTCTGTTATTAACAACATGTGGAGCCACCGTTTATGTATTTAGCTATTAGAGTGCGTACAGGGATTGAAGGAGAGGGACTGAACCATGGGAGGCTCTACTGACAGACAGAAGTTGGTGCATGAAGCTGTGCAAACCCTCACAACCCGAAACACAAACAGAGAGAGACCCAGCTGCTTCAAACACATTAACGCTCAGATATTTCTAATATTCCCACAACATCGCTGAATTACACACACACACACACACACACACACACACACACTCTGGAAAAGTGAGTTCACATCTGCACAAACCGTGTTTGAATGTTTCTGACAGAAACACTTGGACGGACCAGGACCTGGACACACAGTGTGACACTGTGATAATTGGGGGAAATTACAGCTGTTACTCACAAAGAGCACTTTATTCTGGCGGGTCAGGGGGCCACAGGAAGTAACCTGTAACTTAAGGTTTGCCCCCCCACTGTTAGCATGACAGAGCAGAGACAAAACATCATCAGTGTTTGATTTATACTGTGAAACGTGTGGAAACGGAGAAACTCGGTGATGAAGATGGATGAGTCGAGGAGAGAAGGAGCGCTTTAACAGAGTGAGTTAGAGAACTGCAGAGGAATCTATCTATCTATCTATCTATCTATCTATCTATCTATCTGTCTATCTGTCTATCTGTCTATCTATCTATCTATCTGTCTGTCTGTCTGTCTGTCTATCATGTTGAGCTGTTACGTCTTTCACAGATGCAGTGACACCTGTTGTTCTGAGACAATGACCCCCAGTCAGGAGGTCAAAGGTCACGGGGAAAACAAACACTGCCCTACTTATAAAAAGTAAAAATAGACTGATGATATAATTCTCCATCCTCTTTATGAACACAATAAAACTCGAACAGTTTACTTATGTGGGTATACCATAAAAACGGACCATATCTACTATAAACACAGTTACACAGGGAGTGTTTTTTGGTTTGAGTTAACTTATTTAAATTGAGTTAAATAATGATCACGTTCAGTCAGCTGAAATTATGGGAGTTTATTTTGTTTTCAGTCTCAAGAAAAATGAAATTTAAAAAGAAAGTAAAAGGAAACATCCAGAAAAAAACAGAGAGATACGTCACCACAAACAAACATGTCTTATAATTCAGGTCTTGACTTGCAAAAGTAGAATTTTAAATAATTAATTAATTAATATTTCTGCAGCGCTGACTTGAACCTGCAGGGCCGGTAAGGTAGAGACGATGTACGGGTGTTTTTGCTCACGGCATCAACCGAGTATTTGGGGTAATATTTTATGTCAAATCCATTTTAAAGAGTTGAAACTTTGAAAATAAATCTAATCAACATCACAACAAACTATGACGAACATGTTTCCTGAACTCTAGAGGATAGCAGTGAAATGAGAACGATGAAAACCACTCTCATGTAGATCGTCCTGTCTTTATTGAGTGAAAAAGGTCCCCCTGCTGGACACCTGAGGTATTACCAACAAATCAACCTTAGATACAGCAGTCACTCTTTTCTCTGCTAGCGCCGACTGTGTAATCTCCGTAGCAAACATGGGTGCATCTTTGGAAACAAAGCCGACAAACTGTAAACTGCACTGATCGTGAGCCTGTTAGGGACGTGTTTTTAATCCTCAATAAGAACAAGCAGAAAGAAAACTGGACGCTC